AAGATCGCTCACAACAACGGAAGAGGACAGGAGATCGAGCGTAGGATAGAGGTGACAAGGGGAATGGGGAGGGGGGGGGGATACGACAGAAGGCCAGGATCGGAATAAGGGGCGGTGGTCAGGAGGGCATTAGTGGAAAGAGGGTGAAAGGGAGGAGAGAGGGCTATTCGAGACGGAGCGAAAGGAGGGACGATTGGGATTGGGAAGATGGTTGGGTCGAGGGTGAAAGGGAGGAGAGAGGGCTATTCGAGAGGGAGCGAAAGGAGGGACGATCGGGATTGGGAAGATGGTTGGGTCGATAGCGGGAGAGAGGTACAGGGGGGGGCCGAAGGGTGCACTTGATTATGATCGGAGAAAAGAAGGTCAGGCCAGGGGGACGAAGGCGTAGAGGAATGAGGTATAGGAGGGGGGGAGGGCCAGAAGGAGATGAGGAGAAGATTGTTATTATTGGGAGGTCTCACTCGTCCTTGCTTGGCTCTTTTCGATTCCACCGTTGAAGGCGACTACCCCTTGGTGTCTTCACATTCGTTCAGAGGAGATGGCGTCGATCCAGGTGTATCGCTTCCGGCACTCCAGGAAGGTCTACTCCAAGGCGCGCGCACGCGAAACTCCGCTAGCCGCGGCGGCTATGGCCGCGAGGAATTTTGCGCTGTACTCGGCTAGCAGCGGCGGCTATGGCCGCGAAGGATTTCACGCTGCACAAAGTCCGACATGAGTTGGGGACTGGGCTGCGCTAACCTTTATCTTTTTTTTATCTTTTTTTTTTTTGAAACAACTCTTTCTGAAATGATTAGGAATGGTGGTACGAGCACCCATTCCTAGTCACTCCAACGGACTCCAGTCTATTGGTGGGGAGTATCACCTTTCTGGAAACCGGGTCGTCCCTAACCTTATCCGCCTGCCAGGCCCTCTGTAGTTCGGGCAGCGCGCAGGGTTGACCTAGTAGGGCACTGTGATGGCTCGTTTTCGCAGATCTGCTGAGCTGGAAGAAGGTGACAGTCTCCCAGTAGTGCTGCCTTCGGTCATAATCTTACCTCTTAGGAGAGGAAAGATGGAAGGGGAATGACAACTCCGCCAAAAGGAAAATACGAAGACACATCCTCAGCAGCGGAAAGGAACCTTCTCTATCCTGCCAAGGCTCGCAGTAGAGGGCTGGAGATGTAACCCTCCCAGAGGGACAATCCTCAAACGCCTGAAGTACCTGGTAAGGAAGCAAAATGATGAGGCATCACAGGAGCCGTCCCTCCACAAAGCCTGTTCCTTCCTAAAAATGTCATCCCCCTCACCCTGCTATTCTACTCTATCAAAACAACCCAAGGGAAGGGAGCCTCCAATGGTCCAGCCATGATGAGCTGATGGAAATGACCGCAGTAAAATTCAGGATAAATTTCGCCTGGAGATCTCAAGTTCTGATCTTTGCTATCTTTAGAGGTAGAAAATAGGGACTTGTGAGGAGAGAGAGAGAGAGAGAGAGAGAGAGAGAGAGAGAGAGAGAGAGAGAGAGAGAGAGAGAGAGAGAGAGAGAGAGAGAGAG